TTGCAGTCAAGATGTTTTCTAATGAAGAGGCATACACTCTAAGGCTAGAAAATTATCGCAAAAGGTATGCAGATAATAATCTGTGTGCCAGTCTAGAGGAATTATAATCAAATAGCTAAAGAGGAGAATCGCGAAAGGTCAGATGATGAAATAGAGCAGATGCTTAAAGCAATGGCAATCTAGAATAAACAAATACGGTAGACCATCTCCTGCAGATTATTAGAGGGTCCTTTATAGACTGGGATTAAGAGAGTAGCTGTCCACCGTTTTCCTAATGCTATTCTTGAGAGTAGCAAAGCCACGAGTCTTTGACTCATCACAATTGAGAGATATATTTTTATATTAATATTTTTTTTCTTATAATTGGCGGTGTCGAAGTGAAATAAAAATCTCGCCTTCTCGTGATTAAATCACTCGAAGCCAGATATATCGGTAATCCGGATATATCAGTAACCCAGATCTTTTTTCTTGCAAGCTCAAAAAAAGGTGTTATTTAGCTTCTCTTGTCCCGCAGATGAGGTCATGTGATTTAACTGTGTCCTGTGTTATGTAGTGGGTATTTTTGCAAATCTATAGGGAATAGATCAATGAATAATTAATCCGCCAACTAATTTCTGGAACATTCTGGCATAGTACGCATATTACGAATCTTTAAATTAGCATTACGCAAATCAATCTGATGTCTCTGATGTTAGAATGGGACGCGAATGGAAATTACGCTAGCGATTTACAGATCTGATCCCACGAAATGTAACGGGCACTATAGCACCATCCATTCTATATAATAAAATTCCATTACGGATCATTGGTAGATTTGTATAGGGTATGAATTGGGGTTTAAAATGACATAGTTACGCAAAAAACGCGTGCGATCTTCCAGATCTTGTATGATCTTAGCAATAAATAGTATATTTCTCAGTGATAACTTCAACTTTATTACTGCATATTAATTTGATATAAAACCCTAACTGGTAATTGTCGGATTTTCTTTAAAGCACTATTGTTAAATGCATCCAAATTCGATGAACAAATCGCCAAATCCGAAATTAGTATCTAATTTTTTTAGTCGTGGAGGATACACTATAAAATAAGCTAAGTATAATAAAAGTTTGTTGTAAGAAACTTATCTGTACTTGCTTCGCTGATATCATCATGTCCCTTGTTAATCTCCAAAACTTCGCTCTTAATATTTTAAAAGAAATAAAACATGATGCAGTACAAAATATCGAAGTTACAGAATTGCCACCATGTAAAATATGTAATAAAATTTTAACAGTTAACTTTGAATTATTTACAATACTTCCATGCGGTCATGCGTATCATAGGAAATGTATTGAAAAAAATTTTTTACTTACGGAAGAGAACAAATGCCCTATTCCTGATTGCAACAAAATTGTTGATCCAGTAATATCTGAACGAAGGTTTTCTGAATCACCTCAGTCTAGTGGAACTTCGGCTATTGTAGATATGTTAGGCAATAATCTTGGGTTAAATTCACCAATGAATGTATCATCATTATTACCCTTATTTAATGAGACTACCCAGAAAAAACGTACTAGGGAATCACCTGCATCTACTGAAAAATTGTCTAGCAAGAAGGCGAGAAAAACTGGCAGGAAGAAGGTATCGTCTATGTTAAAAAAACTTATCGAAGAATTATTAGCTGATACACCTGTTCCCACTATTGGAGAGAACTTGAAAAAAGCAAATGAAAGCGCAACCAGTATTTTTTTGCAACTCTCTGATAAGATTGATAATGCCGAAACTAAAAATGAAGGTGCATCTCGAGGTATTATTTTCAGCTATTTTGATTTTGGGAAGCTATATTTAAATGATACAAAGAATTAAAACCCGAATATAGCAAGGATGGATCTCAAGCATTGGTCAAGAATGAGGTTAGAGAAGCGATTCCTGAGGCAAAATGTTCTGACGAAGCTTTGCGAAAAAGGATGGAGAGATCCGAAAAGGGTTATAAGCTTTTTAATAGTATAGGTAAAGAAAAAATAGCATGGATAAAATCCACCCCTCCAGGTTTCATCTTAAATCTAACTAAGGATTATGTAATGGCTGAAATTTTAAAGAAGAAAGTTTGATAGTGTACTGTGCCGTTTCTTCTGCGTAATTTTGACAAGCTCGGACACCGTGTCCAGACTCTACCATCAGAAAAAATTGTATTTAAACATATATTAATAAAGCATTTCCCATATTTTAAAGCGTGTTCTAGTGATCACTACCAAATGTAATATAATGTACTTTGCTGGAAAATAATTTGCTACTTCCAATAAGATTTCGATGACTAATTTGCTGTCTACTGCGCCATGTAATTAATTCATTTTTCTGCGCAACTTTGACGAGCCCGGACACCGTGTCCAGACTCTACTATCAGATATTTGGCCGTCTTGTGAGATAAATTTATGAGAAAATAGGGGTTTGTGACGAATGTAATCATCATTCACATCTATATTGCAAAACATGCAAAAACTAGTGAATGTGAAAATTCTCGAATAATTAACGTTAAATAAAAATAAATCAGAATTAACGATTTGGTCGCTATAAATAATTTTCTATAATTTGCCCACGTAACAAAAATATTCATTAACATATGTTAGAATAATTCCGCATGTCTGTATCACCTAGCAAGGCTTATCATTATGCATATCTTATTTGTGACGGGGCACAACCACAAAGTGCCACACATTATAATAAAAAATTTTAGCCACGTATATATATTTTTTTCTGTTAATATACAAATGAAAGAAAATCGGAATAATATACTTACTAATAAAAAAAGTCGAAACTATATCGAAAAGTGGCATATCTTTAGAGGGTGGAAGCACGGGTGTAAGGTTTGCGACGAATGCAATCATCATTCACACCTATATTGTAAGACATGCAAAAAAGTAGTGGATGGAATATATAGGCAATGTGAATGTAAAAATTCTCAAATAATTAAAAATATATGAGTTAATATTTTGGTAAAACGATAGCGATAGTTTAAAATTTGTACGTAAAGCCTTCTCATTATACTGTTAATGAAAAAATCCCCACAGTTTTCCCAGAGTTATCCTATAGTTATTATGTATCTATTATATGCTATAATATAAAAAAAAATCCCGTAGTTATCCCATAGCTATCTTGCGGTGTAAATCTGTAAAATTACTCTAAATTCAGTCAATTGACTTATGACACATGCATCTGTACATTTATACGTTGTCTGTGTAATCAAATATTTTTACAGATTTCTGACAAGGCCAAAAGGTCTGAATTTTATTTCATAAAAAATTGTTGCCAGGGCGACAATATAACATACAAATAAAATATATATATTTTTATTATATACCGGTAATAAAAAAAAATAAAAAATAAAAAATGGTGAGGACATAGAACTCCTCTTTATTTCATAAAAAATGTCGCCGGAAAACGTACAAATAACAAATATAGATCCATCGCGAATACAAATAATAAAAAAAATCTGTCCTACCACCTAAGGATTTATAATAACAATAATTGACTAAATTCACAATTCCTTAAGCTTGTGTATCGACAATCCATTGCTTAGAATCATTAGTTCCAGGGCCAATTTTTGAATCTTTGACATCTCCAGACTTGGCTATCGCATACTCAGTTGTTGTAGTTGTAGTTGAACCAGAGGTAGTAGTGAATTTATTTTTACAAGCAATATTTACATGTTTATCGGCACTTGCTGGAGAAACTACAAATTGTTGATACGTATTACCAGAGACGTAAGCTTTCAACACAAATTTAGTTGAATTGTTAGGGTCGTATGTAATTGCGAGATTTGCTTCGTCTGAATCCTGAGTAATATAGATAATAGTAGCATCATCGTCATCTTGAATAAGGTTCCAATTTTGATCAGACTTAGAAGAACCAGTTTCTAGCACAATATCGTTGTCTTTCGACGTCCAAAAATTGGAACTACTTGTATCATGAATAGTAACTGGATCCGTAGGAGGCCAACTATAAAGATAATAATATGATAAAAAGAAATTAGCTTAGGATTAATAAAAAAATAGATAACAAGAAAAAGAAAATGTTTATTACGTCGACATTTTGTATTAACTGTTAAGTTGTTTCAACGTAATGCAAACTAGGAGTGCTCAGAAGGCAGACCTTTTTATAACAAAATCTAAAAATGAGTATTTCTAATCAAAGAAAAAATTGTTGAAGAATAATGATATCTAGAATTATATTACTGTTCTGATATTTAATATTGCCTTAAAAAACCATTGTGAATGCCCTCCGTTATTGGTTTAAATATTTCCTTTTCGCAACAGTAATGAAGACAAAAGTTGTTGAACAAAGGCATGAGTAATATTTACAAGTCTATTTTTTTCCATTAGGCAACTCTGTTCAGCCGTAAGTTCCAAACACTGAATCTATTTTGCTAAAATTAGATTTTGTCGATCGTTTAGATCTCGACGATCTCGGAGATGGCGGAGATTCCATGTCCTAGTAACGTACGAATTTTAATAACGCTATTGATAAAGAACATTTATTCTTTTCATTTATAGCCTTTTTATTTCCCATTCGTGCTTTTTCTTATCTCAAGATCGTGTATAATAATGATAAAGGTTTTTACATAACGATAATATTTAAAAATCGAACGTGAGAATTAATTAGAGAAGTGACACAAATCACATGCCTTGACTAGGAAACCCTAATGCTTTTTGGATGACTGTTAATTTCGAATTTCGAGTATGCCAATTGTAAAGTTGTGTTTACTCACTAACCATAAATATAATGGATTATCGGAGTGTGGTATCCGAAAATCCTAAAGAAAATTTTGATTTGTTACTGCGTCATATTACTGCGCCTCGTATAACATGTCACTAGAGTCACACCCATTAGCGTAATCTTACCGTCAGGGACCGTAACCCCGATTTTCTTTCTTTAGTTATGCGGAAAAGTCTTTTATCGTGTAACAATACGTGACCTGTTGTACGACAATCTGATTGTTTGTATAAACTATAAAAAGGTGAATGTACGACCATTTTTACTAAAAAATTTTCGCTTTCTGTACAAGCTGTACTACTTTTGTTCAACAAATAATCATGTTTAAAAATATTTCCCTTCCGTTAGTAGAAGAGGTTCAGGAGAAATGGAAGCGAGCTAATATTATTAACTTCTTAGAGGAAAATAAAGAGGAGTTAGACCTTGACGATGATGACATCCAAACAATCGAGAAGAAAAAGGTCTCCGGTCGTGACTTTCTTGGTTTGAATGTGCAAAAGCTCATAAAATATGGTTTAGAAGATGGTCCGGCCGAAAGAATCACTAGTTTGATCAAAGAAATTAAGGACGAGGAACAGAGTATGTACCATGCGAAGATGTCATAGAATAGCTTAAAAATTGTTACTGTATGTTTACTAAATACATGTAATTTTCAGGACCAAAGACTTGCAACGTCACTTTCAAATATCGAGTAAAAGAAAACGAAACAGTAGAGTGCAACAGGAGAGACCGCATAGTATCGATAACATATTATTCGCTGACAGAACTAACTTTGAAACTATTGCAAGATCACGCACAAAAAGAGTTTAAGTCTCCGGCGACGACACACAACGAAATTGTGGTCAAATACAATAAATCCATTTTAAGCAATGATGCTACCGTGAGATCTATATTCAAGACGAAAGAAAATATCGAATTAATCGTTACATTAGATAAGAAGTGCTTTTCCAGTTATAAAAATTTGCGAGAGGTTCTCCAAAAACATGGAATCGACAATGACGAAGTGCGTAGTATACCAGTGTTTTTTCCTAATTATGAAAATGAAAAAAATTATAAGGAAGTATTTGAAGATTGTGTAAAGGAAATAAAGGTTCGAATTACAATATTTTCTTCACATCGTTGTGTATATGGGATCTTTGCTAGGAAAATCACCCTTCGACATTTTCCGATCGGGCTAATTCGGGCAAACTTAAACAAACATGCCGGTTTTTATTTGCATGCAAATCATCTTTTGACTTTAATGATTCGAAAGTTTATTTGATGATTATTGAATCAATAAAGGCAAAAGATGATTTACATTTATATAAGAACTGGCATGTTGCTCTAATTTGTCCGAAATTACCCGATCGGAAAATGTCGAAGGGTGATTTTCCTAGCAAAGATCCCATATGTTGAATGTATTGATTCATTACTAAATATTATAGGCTAGATTGTCAGCGATTGGCAATGTGGGTGATCAGAATGAAGCACAGCGAAGCCACTTTATTACGTCGATATTAGTCTCAGCAGTAAATTCAGTTCCAAACACCATCCTTCGATCACAGTTTGAGATTATTGGAGATGTATCTTCCGGCAGGGTAGATTACGCAATAAAGAAAATTTATCCGCAATTAACAGGTAGTGGATTTGAAGAAATTATCTGCGTCACTGAAGCGAAACAAATTGATATAAAAGTAGGCGTTGCTCAAAACTTAATGCAACTTGAAGGTTCGTTAGATTCAAACAAAAACAAAAAGCGTAAGCTTGATGAGTTGTATCCAGATCAGGCGTATTCAGAATATGTTTACGGAATCGTATCAACCGGCACTGATTGGTATTTTTTGAAGCATACTCCTGATCAAATTTTCTGTAGTCAAGCATCCGATTATATACCTTTGGTAACAACACAGTTAAATAATGATGAGGATTTGAGGAAGGGAATTAAAACGGTCCTTGGCAAAATCATTTGGATGTTAAAGGATCGAGATCGAACAAACAAGAAACAGCGCACATAAGAATATATGGTAAAAACGTTACAATTGATTTGTATTGTACGTTCTGATATCTTGCAGTAGGACAAGTGTAAAATGACATGAGGTTATACAATAGGCTAATTTAAGATTGTCATATAGTCTACAAATTTGTATTAAATTTCGTTATTTTTTAATAAATTAATTTTCGATAGATAGTAAAAAGCTATAATAACGTGACAATATCATTTTTGGTTCATTTATAATAATTAAATCGAGAATTTTTTTGTGTAATTTTTGATCATAAAATTTGAGTCAAAGACTGGGCTTTACCTATTCATGGTTAACCACTATCCTGAAGTTTCATAATATTTATTACCCAGATGCCAGAACATCCTCACTTCATGAGTGCAAAATCGGAAATATATTATCTAAAGCTGGCCCTGGTGGCCGATTTCGCATACATAATCAGTTTACTTTGCACGTGTATTTCATGAATTTATTCCGCGAAATCAAATTACCGCTACGTAGTTGTGTTAAAATAGCGCACACGTATGTTTACTGAAATTTCATTAAAATATAGATTCTAGATAACTGCTGTTAAGCCACCGTTGAACTGCTGTT